AATAAAATAAAATACGAAATGAATATATAAAAAACTTTAATAAAAGATGAAATAATACCAAATAAAATAAATACGAAATAACAAATAATAAAATGAAAAGATGTAATATTTAAAAAATATATAAAAGCTATAATAAATGAAAAAATAAAAATAGGTACATGAAACAATTTTAACAAATACTACATAAAAATATTATAATAAATAAACAAAATTGTAGTTTAAGAAATTACAAAAAAAATATAAAAAAGAAAGAGATTAAAGAAAAACCTTAAAATAAGAAAAAAAAAAATCAAATTAAAAATCAAATATAATGCTCAAAAGAAAAAATAAAATTAAACAAAATAAAAATATGTAATTAAAGAACCAATAAAAATGTAAAATAAGTTAGCTAATAAGCAATTAAATGTATTATCTAAATACATACTTTGTTCTTTGAAGCACAGCATCTGCTTCTTCGGAAAAAGAAATCCAAATTTGCAGACAACCACGTCGCTACCACGTCTGTCATTCAGCTGACCCGCTTCTCCAAGTATGTACTGATAAAAATTATTCAGGAATAAGGTGCTATTTAGTGCCACCAAAATTAATTTAGGTGCTCACTTGGTTTCCGAGAAATTCGAGAAAAATGTGTATGGGTTATCTGGCGTAATGTTAAGCTGGCTGACCCACTTATTAAATTTTGGTCGAACACCAATTAATTTTATTGGGGAATTACATGCTTTTTAGGACCACCAAAATTATTTTAGGTTCTCACTTAGTTTCCGAGGAATTCGCGAGACATCTCGGCGGCTGGCCCACTTATTAAGTTTTAGTGGAATTTTTTGGAAACTATGTGGGTTTCTAAAATAATTTTGGTGGCCTTAAAAAGCACGTAAATAGCACCTAATTCCTGGATAATTCGACGAAATTTTACATTGTTGCGATTTTCTCGTAAACTAAATGAGCTACTAAATTAACTTCTGTGCCACTAAATAGCAGGCGTGGCAGACGTTCTGCTGCCTTTTTGGAGTCAACAACACTAATTGAGTCGAGCTTATGCCAGTTTTTAATTGGGGTCAACTGTGCACCTTTCCGATTGCAACCTCTCTCTTTCCTGCCAACGGTGTAACAAGTTAATTCGCATTCGTACTACATACATACATGTTAGCGTGTGAATGTACGTAAGTTCTCACTCTTAATCCTTATCCTTAAAATGCTCTTTTAGTGGAACTAGCGAAAAAGAAGAGAACAAATGCAAACGCGCTTTCCGCATAAAACTATATTTCACAGCTTCCACCCTCACACACATATTCGCTTTACCATAAGTTTCCGCTCAGCTGTACAACTATTCTCTCCCTCTGCTCATCTCTTAAAGTTTCGTCTTCTGTCGTGTGCAAATACTTTTTAAGGTCACTGTCGATGACGAGTGTATCTTATTTCCCTCCCTAACTGAAAGTCATATCCTCCGAATTCTCTCTTTGTGCATCATCCAGCTATGTGCTTTTTCGCCTTTTCGTCGTCCTTCGGTCTGTTCACTCTATTGGCTAACACGTAGACAGGCAGGCGCTCTGTCGGTCGGTCAGTCGCGACAGGCAATACTAAGCTGATAGGCGCTTCAAGTTGACTGTTGATGCCATATCATTTATTTATTTAGCTGCAATCTGCTGCGCTTCATGGTGGACGACGTATGCGTGTATGTGTGTATTTCCGTGTCTCATTTTATTTTTACTTTAATTTACATTTATTTAGAGTACAAGTTTTTAATAATCTTTCTATCTTTTTTTATCTTTGCAGAATTTTCTTCACCATTTCAGTAACAATCGAAATTTCAGTGCAGCAGACAGCCGTGAAAGAAAAATTATAAAAATAATATAGCAAAAAAATATATATAGAGAGCTATATATAACAGCCATAAATAAGCGCAAAAACAACAATAAAAATGACCGAAGTTGAACAGCAGCCACCGCCACAGAATGGCATAGACTTATCCGCCGCCGAGGAAGATGATAGCAGTAAAGCGCGACCAGCAGATATTGAGCAGGTAAGCATTGCACTAACACACGCATTTGAGCGCTTTCTCCGCCATCCCCTTCACTGTGGCATGAGTAAAATCAGCCAATTTTGCAGTAGTGCATAGTACATTGCACCGACTACCTTCAGCTGGATCGATTTTTCACATCTGCATACTTTCACTGTCCCACTTAGTCATCGTGAAACAGCTAACTAACCCCCAGCCTGCAACTAACCATCCTCATCACATTTCAGCCGTGCATTCATTTATTATCTACTAAGAAATTAATTTGCTTATTTTAATATTTTCGTGTTTACTTGCAGGATATGCGTGAAATGGAGCGCCGCAAGCGTGTTGAGGCCATTATGGGTTCCAAGCTCTTTCGCGAAGAATTGGAGCGCATTGTGGATTCCGCACGTGATGGTGGCGGCATACTGCAACAGCTGTCCGATATAATGGGCGTACCGACATCAACGCGCGTTGGTAATGTCTTCAAGGCTACGAATTGTATGCTGCCAATCAATGATATACGCGGCGTTGAATCGATGGGCTATGCCAAGGGTGAGAAGATTTTGCGTTGCAAATTGGCTGCCACATTCCGTTTGTTGGATTTATACGGTTGGACGCAAGGATTGGGTGCACAAATTACCGCACGTCTTAAGGTTGATCAGGAGAATTTCCTTGTGAATCCATATGGCATGATGTATCACGAAATCACGGCGTCATCGCTGAACAGAGTTGATATGCAGGGTCAGATTGTGGAGCAGGGCACCACCAATTTCGGAGTGAACAAGAATCGTGAGTGTCTTTTGAGATATAAGTGCATGCATAATAGGATTAAAGCGTTTGAATTCACGCCAATAGTGAGAGGGAATTTCTATATAAATTTAGAACGAAATGACTCCATGACATGATTTTGTAACGTTTTTTTTTACGAGTTTTTTCTTGTAAATTAGCACTTCTTATAAAGACGGTCATACATATTTTCCATGCTTTTGGAATTAAAAAAAAAAAAACTCAGCCACCTCTTTTTCTATTTCTTTTTCAACATAAAAGAATTGATTTCCTTTCAATATTGTTGTTGGGCTTTGTACCACGATCAGGTATTTTTTGTTTTAATTGAAAAAAGCAACACAGTCTAAACGGTAGAAGTTATAGCTGCTATTTCGGGGATCACTTCATCTCATCAGACTTCTTTTTCTAGACTTCAGCAGGGACCGAACCCCCATCATCGATGTGCAAAGTGAAAAGCGCTAACCACTGAGCTATGCACACCCCGCTTTTAATTTCTTCCAAAAACCCTTAACCGAAATATAAATATTTTAAAACTCATATTATTTACCGTTTACGTTTGAAAATCGGTCAAATCATCTTGTTAGTATTGGAAATGTAAATGCATTGCCCAATTCATCAATTTTGAAAATTTTTAGCCTCGAAACTTGTTCTGATAAACTGTGTTCATCTCCATTATATTTTCAGTTAAATAATTTTAAGACAAAATATATATGTATAACTTAGTACATACAAAAAAATATACAACCGAATTTCCACTAGGCAAAAGTTCTACCATTAAACAAATGGCTTGTGGAGCAGACTTTATGGCCCTTATTTTTAACGTAATAAATTTGGAACTATTTGCAGCATGGGAAAAGTGATTACCCAGTCCGTTTGAAGAAACTGTATATTTATTAATAAGCAATATTACGTTTTTACAAGCCTTTATAACAATTGACTCAGCGAAGAGATAATAAAAGAGAGATATTTTTAGCACCATCTACTTGCTACGCTTCAAACAAAGGGAAACTTAACTTAAGTTTAACATTTGGGTGGTTCACAAGGTGTCGTACGTGTCGTATTGTCGTATGTTGTAAAGTTTTTAACGGCTTAATAAATGTTTAGAGGGTTTGAAATCACCACCAACTATTTTTTAGCGGTGTGAAATTTCATAATAAAACTTGTATGTTAGCTTGCGAATTCCTTAAATATAGTTTTAGCCGTTTAAAGTTTATGACATACAACAGTACGACAGTATACAACACCTTGTGAACTCCCTAATTGTTTTTGCTTCAACAAATATGACTCCGGTATTGTTAATGCCCAAATTTATCAATACACATTTTTGTCAATTAATGTCCACTGAACGTATCGTTCGTTTGCTCGAAGAATGTCATAACGAAAATAAAAAATTGAATAAATGCAAGAAAAAGGCCTTAAAGTGTTTAATTAGATTTAGCGCAGTGAATAAAACGATTTAAAATCTATGTACATATTCGCACTTGTAAAGTCCATAAATATGCATATATGCAGGTTTTTTCTTCTTAAAAACTCACTCCAAAACTCTTTCCATCCCTCCACAGACTTCGCCTTGCACTCGGTGGTACATGCCGCCCGCCCCGACATCCGTTGCGCCATCTACATTGGCTGCACACCCGTCGTTGCTGTCTCTTCGCTAAAGGTCGGTCTACTGCCATTGACACGCGACGCTTGCGTTTTGGGTGAAATAACCACACACTCATACACGGGCACACAAATGGATGCCGATGAACGTGATCGACTGGTGCGCGCACTCGGTCCCAACTCCAAGGTGTTGATACTCAGCAATTATGGTGCATTGTGTTGTGGTGAAACCATCGAAGAGGCATTCTTTGCTGCCAGCCATATTGTTAAGGCATGTGAAACACAATTACAACTACTGCCAGTTGGTGTAGACAATTTGGTTTTGATACCAGAGGAATCGCGTAAAGCGATTTTTGCAGATGCTCGCCGCCCACCTGAGGATTTGGAGAAGAAATTTGCAGCTGCTGTGGCTACAGTCGAAGCAAATGCTGCTGAGGCCGCAGGCGCTGCTGATGGTGCTGCTGATGGTAGTGGAGCAATCGCTGTTAAAGCTGCTGTTGCTGGTGGCGCACCCAAGTGGCGTGTAGGTGGCGCTGAATTTGAAGCGCTTATGCGCATGCTGGACAACGCCGGCTATCGTACGGGTTACATTTATCGCCATCCACTTATTAAATCGGATCCGCCAAAGCCGAAGAATGATGTTGAACTGCCACCAGCGGTTAGCTCGCTGGGTTATCTACTCGAGGAAGAGGAACTCTTGAAGCAAGGGTGAGTAGCGACAGAGTATAGAAGAAAGGACAATTGATTTGCAGAGTGAGAAATGGGCATTAATTGCATTGTTTTCATTTGCAGCATTTGGAAGAAGGGCGATTTGCGCAAGGGCGGCGATCGAAGCCGATGGCTCAACTCGCCAAATGTCTATCAGAAGGTTGAAGTACTGGAAACAGGCACACCCGATCCCAAGAAGATTACAAAGGTAGAGATTATTACATTTGAAGATAAATCCGAAATAAGTCAGAAGTAAAAAACTATTATTAAAAAAAAAAACACACACACACAATATCTACTACTAAAAAAAGGCTAAAAAAATCCCAACAAATGAACCGTACCGGCGAAAAAAATGTACTCCCATAGCGCTGAAAATTATTAATATAAACTGTAGTAGGACATTTTCGGGGATCAAAGGTTTGCTAATTCAGCAATTAACAATATTCAAAAAAAAATCTATTATTAATGTAGCTTTTATAGAAAACTAAAACTGCTAATATTTTGCTGCCGCCGCTCAATTTTTTATTTTAATTTATCTTTTACAAATAATGTGTGCATTTAATAGCATTATATGTATACGTGTAAGTGTGTGCATTTAATTTGTTCTTTGCCGATTTTGAATTACGGTAACATAATTAGTTTTAAGACGTTTTTGAAACACCAAAACTTTCGTCAACTAAAATGACAACCGTGTAAGCGGAAATAGATGTGCGCGTTTGCTATCTTATCACATTTGAAGGCCTTGTTGAGGTTAGCAAGGGATATGATTTATTAAAACATACATTCTTTTCTGCGTTTCAGAAAAATAAATGCCCGTAATATAAATATTCTACATTAAAAAAAAAAAATGGAAATATCGTTACCTTAACATACATACATACTTAGAATAGAAAGGCCCTGTCATTTTCTTTCAAAATCCAGCTTTGTAGAAATGTTTATAAATGAATCACTGAAAACGTAATGGAATTTAAAAACAATTACTATAACTCAATTATAGTCCTTGTTTAAAAACAGCATTTTAAAGAAATTGGCAACCGAATAATTTATCCTTTTGTTAAGTTTTTTTAATCACCTTGCAAGTAAACTAAAATGTTGGATAGGGCCTTTCTATACATATTAAGGTAACGATATGTATGTGTGCGGGGATCTGAAACAGGTGTCTTTTTTTTTACTTTCATTATCTTTCTCCTATTGCTTTAAAACTTTCAACCCTTTTTATGTTCTTAAATTTCCATATTTTTTCGAAATAACGCAAAAAATATTGAGAAGTCAGTAATCTATTCGGAAATAGACCCCCGCGTACAGAATTAAAAATTTTTCAGTTACTGCTTTTGTTTTTTTTTCACATTCTTCTCTTTAGCAGTCTACTCTGCTCTAGCTGCCATAAAATATTTATATGTTATTTTGTTTTGGCTAGTCAAAAAGACTTTAATATAAACATTAACCAAAAAACCAAATGGGCTCAGCGCGTTTCAAAGCATTTTTGAACTAATTTGCACAGTTCGCAATTAGTTTAAAATGTTTGATTTATTTTTGTTTGTAGTTATTTTTATTTATGCTTCTTGTATTATTTTATTATGTAAGTACAATTTTTGTTATATATTTTTAATTTTGGCTTTAATTTTTATTTCTTTAAATTTTTATATTTTTTGATTAACTGAATTTCGAAAATTTACCGCAATATTTTTTTCGTGTAGTGTTTTTTTTAGATCTTAAAATTTTATTTGTATCTTTTTATATTTTTTGCTTAACTGAATTTCGAAAATTTATTGCAATATTTTTTTCGTGTAGTATTTTTTTTTTAGATCTTAAATTTTGTTTGTATCTTTTAGACCCGTTTTCCCAAGTAGCTCTTAAAATTTATCTTCCCTTTAAACACAAAATTTGTTCTAAAAAAATTTGTTTGAAGGTCAGATACATTTTAAAAACTACTTGAGAAAACGGAACTTAGTTCACACTTTGTTAAATTTATTCAATTCCAATTATTTTTTTTTAATTGTTCGATTTTTCTGTTTTGTGAATAAACTTCTCGTATTTTTTTCGTAATTATGTCTGCAGAAGTAAGGTTGTTTTTAGGTATTTTTTCTGAAATTTTAGTTTTGGTTTTTAATCACTATAACTTTTTCCTCTAATGTGCACATATTTGTTCATTATACTTTTGAATACATTTAAGTTTTTAGATTTTAAATTGTTTTACTAAAAAGAAAAAATTTATTAAAATTTTATAAATTTTTTTTTTATTTTTTATTTTTTTTACCTTTTTTGTATTTTTTTATTTTTTTTATTTTAATTGCTTTTGATTTCATCGTAACATTCCATATGCGGCTTTTATTTACCTTCATAACTAAACCTATATTAAAGCAAGTAACATTTGTAGAAAGTAAATGAGATCATTTAAATAAACGACAAAAAATGTTAAGTGTGAAATACACTAGCAAAGAAAAAAGTATTTAAAATAGCACAATTTATACAAGGGCCGAAAAATAAGGGACAGCATTAAAAAATATATTAATACGCCCCATTAATTTCGTCTATGGTGAAAAATCGTAAATACGTGCGTGGCAACTATTAAAATGTAAACATATACAAAAACAAAAAAAGAAAGAAAATGTAATTTAAAAAATTTTAAAAATTTGATTGAACCGGAATCTGCCTATTTTTTCGGTCCTTTTTCACCGGTAACTATTAATACATAGCTAGTTTCTTAACCTTACATGCAGCCGTTCATATATACATAAATAATCAAACTATCGCAATTTGCAAGCTAACCATCCATATTTAGTATCAACAAATTAACTTTGGTTTTGCGGTAACTCAGTAGAAATGAACAATTTATTAATAAAATTCAATAATAAAAATGGTCATATATATTTATTAGCTATGTAAGTTAACGCTTTATTGTGTCTGTGTATAAGGTAAAGCAAAGCAAGTGTAATACATAAATAATAATAATATATAGTAAAGAAAAAATATCGTATTTCTTTAATTCCTAGAAATTTAAAAAAGCGCCTTAACAAACTAATATTTGCGCCTTTCTGGGTTTAATTTGGTTAATTTTAACCCAATGAAGCGCTTTTGAAGGTTAACTAATTTCGGCTTGCAAACTAAACGCTGGGAAGAAATTATGCTTTAGCCACGTTGCTAATACATTCGCACGAGTTTTTCTCATAGCAGCTATTTGACAGCGGTCTAAATAGGGCAGCGCAATGCAGTTTGGACATAAAACTATAGCTATTCCAACGCAATTTTCAAATAACGCTTAATTTTTTTTTTGTTTTTGTTTGCAATCTACATTTAAAAACAGCAAATTTTCAAAACAAAATTTGTTTTCGTATTCTGATACATGCAACTTTACATTATATGGAGTCAATAAAAGAGAGAAAGAGAAAGAAAATGTTAACTCATTAACCTACAAAATGTGTATAAAAGTTACAAATATAATATTGTAATATTAACCATTGCACAACGTTAAAATTGTATATAAACATTTTTATATTCTTGATAAAATCCCTTTGCCTCCAGCCTGAGTGGCTGTTTTTTGTGCCATACATAGTCATGTACATATGTAAATAGCATACATTTGCGATTAGTGAGAGTTCACAATGTCAGCTTTAAAATATCAGTTTTGGAGTAAAATCTCGCGCTCTTAATAACATAAAATATAAATTGTACAACTGAAACTTTACTCTGGTACGTGTTTAGTCAAAAAAATTAAAAAAATACACTCTTAACACCAAGCTTGACATTGTAACCTCTACTTAGCAATTGATTTTTTCAAATACATATTTTCACTTCAAAATGAGTAAGGAAAATAAAGTCGATTTTTAAAGTAGTGTAAACTATTTAAGGATCCCCATAGCATTTTTGAGGAGTATAACTTTTTTAAATTATAAAAACGAAAGGAAATAAAAATATAAACAAACTATAAAAAAATTGAGTGGTTCGAAACTTAGTAGTTTACTTCATGTTAATTTTAGTAGTTCAGTTTCTAGGGTGGCAAATTTTCGAGATTTTAGAATTTCTATAAAAAAAAAACAAAGAATAAATTTTACTATTTTTAAATATGGCTTTATTTTCCTATTTGAGCGACCTCTCTACAGAAATTATCAGTTCAATAAAAGTTTTTTTTTGCATTGTTGTCAAATATTTTTTGTTGCTTTTTTTTAAGTTTATTTTGTCGCATGCCTGCATGATAAAATTATTTCGCATATTCATATCTGTACAAACATATACGCGCCGATTTCGAATCGCCAACTACATATCAAGTAGCGAATAGAACAGCATTTCCGTTGAATCCGAAGCCTTGATTTACACAAACCATAACTTCCCGGCTCGCTAATTTTATAGCTTTGTCGCTAAGCTAGCAGGGATGACCACAAGCGAGAGAAATGGCGAATTGAAAACGGATATTTTTTCCTCTAATTTTCGTTGTTGGTAATTTTTCCAAACGAAAAATGACACTGAAGATGGCACAGCGCCGAAACCGATTTTTCTCCAAACCAAACTGGGAAAATCGTTCCAAAGTACATCAGGATATTTTTTAGTTGAAATTTCTTTAACCTATTATTTTACACAAATCTGCCGTTCCTGTTACTTAGTTAGCTGAAGGTTTTAGGCTCTGCGAGCGTTTGGGAAACAATTTTAATACAAATTTTTCTAAACTTTTAGTTGAAATAATTTTTTTAGGAGCATGAACAGTTAGTAAAAAACTTGAGTGTAAACAAGGTACAAAAACGGTTGAAAAAATAGATAAATTTTCTCAATCAAAATTACCCCGGCAACAACAAAAAATGTAGTTTCCTTAATAGGAACTCAGTTGCCAGCTTTCAGTTGCTAGTTGCCTCTATAATACCATTTCAGCCACCGAAAACGCAACTGAAGGTCGGTTGCAATCCGTAATCGACCCATCAGTAAACATCCCTAAGCTGATTAATTTTCCCCGTTGCATTTATAAATGAAGAGTAGATGATTTTTTGTGAATTATTTTCCTAATGCTCACCCATTATCCTGTCATGTGAATAAAAAATGCTTGGATGTACATATGTAGGTACTTGATTGCAATTCTAGACCAAAATCTTCTGTGGGAATAATCCGTGGGTGCGTCTTTATAAAAATTATAAATAAAATCCATATTTATTTTTATTTTTTTTTTGCATGATTTACACACAGCTAACAAACTACTATGATTTTCCGCTGTTATTTTTTTATGGAGCAATTTCGGTTGTTTTGTGTAAAAAAATATGTGAAAGAAAATAACCCGTGTCTGTTTCATTTACATATCGACGCTAACATGTCAAACTATCGTATGTGCGAAAATGCTTTTCCAATTACGATACCTTGCGCTTGCATTTAGTGTGATACGCAAATTGGCAAATCGTCAAGTTTCGTGTCTTCTTAGAAGCAGAGGATACTGGCTATTAACAAAGGGTCGAATCCCACACTTTTTCCTAATGACAACAAAATTTTTTAAAACAAGTTCTTTGCTCTCCTGAAAAGTACCCATTTTCTCATTCGACAGTTTGACATGGTAGCGACGATATGTCACATACAAATTTCAAAGCTAGTAGTTAGAGGCACGAAAACCTTAAACAGTTTCAAAACTTTTGCTAAATTAAAAATACATAAGTATGTACTAATTTTTCGAGCTTCAAGTTTTTTATTTCTTTTCCTAGCAAATATATGTACATATGTTTTTACATATCTCACACCTCCTTCAAAAGAGTCACAACTCAAAATTTGGCATTTTTTGAAATTTTGCGCTATAAATATACACAGAGCTTTATTTACCATTCAGAAAAAGCTGGAGCAAATTTTATTAAAAAAAAAAAACCCCTAAGATAGAGTCGCCCTTGCCCATATGATTATCATGTGCTAAGAAATAGTTTTTCGCATTTTCTATTATTTTGAGTTATGACCCTTTTGAAGACGGTGTGCGATATGTATCTTCATTATTAGTCTTAATTATTTTTTATGTATTGACTGCTTTGCTTTATTGAAAAAATTAACTTACCCACGATTGTAAAAAAAGACAATAGGTATAAAATATTAAAAAGAAAACTTGATTATGTGTTAATACAATCGGCGGACTAAAGAATGAAAAAATCTGTAAAAAATATGATAAATGCCACACTGCTAATTATTTTTATTTTGCAAGCCATTTTTTGTATTGTTCACACTTTCATAGCTAAAATAATTAACCCTTATTACAAAAATGCTTAGTTTTAACGCAAACAATGGCTTGGTTTTAACACTAATGAAAGTTTTAGGTATATTTATATTTATTTATATTTTTTTCCTTTTTTGTATCGCGTTAAAAATATTAATTTATAATATTTAAACACAGTATTTACATAATTACTGCTAAAATAATGAGATTAAATAAACAAACTACAACTACTTTCTTTCTCTTTCTACTTTCATAATTTAATTTAAACTACAAATTATCGACACATTGCGCTGCCTCAAATCCCAATTTCAAAATCGAAAATCGTCCACTCAACAACGCAATACAATTTCAAATTCCATTTTCGAATTCGCTTCCCTGTGCGCATTGCCAAAAAAAATCTCGCTACTACTTTTAATACCAAATCCGAATCCCTCTGTCATGCCACCACACCCAAAATGCGTGCTTTTGTCACTGTCTTACCATCACCATCGCCAATATCAGTGGGTCGCTGAAGGTTCACCAACACACTCTACACCAGTACGCATCGAAGATCCGTTGCAATTTGTGCCAGCGGGAACAAATCCAAAAGAATTCAAGCGCTTGCAACAACAGGTAGGCGATTGTAGATTTAAGTAAATTGTGAGAAATTAATCAAAATTAAATACCAAAAATCTCTTTACTAGATCAAAGACAATCGTCGCGCTGATAAAATATCCGCCGGACCACAATCACACATCCTCGAAGGCGTTACATGGGATGAGGCCAATCGCATTAAGGATGCGACTGTTTCATCAGCCGGCGATCATGTTGTGCTAATGGGCGCCGCCTCCAAGGGCATCATACAACGTGGCTATCAGCATAATGCGGCCGTTTACAAAGCACCATATGCCAAGAACCCATTCGATAATGTAACCGATGATGAATTGAATGAATACAAACGCACGGTGGAGCGTAAGAAGAAGAGCATTCATGGTGAATGTAAGTGTGTTTGATAAATACCATAGAAATTGCAACTTCATAAATATAAGGGCTGCATATGCAATGAATTTTTAGTGTTGCAAAGGCATGGCTCTATATTTTGTTAGTGTTTTGCAAAAAAAAAATACTAACAAGTTTCCAAATGAAATAATGCCATACCATTTTCAAAGATTCTGAACAGTCCCATTACTTTGTTTTCTTCAAATTTTAATTTCAATATTTTATTCTGCACAGATACCGATACTGATTTCTCCGAATCGGAGCCGTTGAGTTCGATGCCAATCTCAGCACCACAACAGACGAAGCAATTAACAATCACAACTGCCGCAGTTAGTCAATCAGAACCAGAAGATGTTTCAGGTAATGTTGAGAAAAGGTTGCTTGTTATAGGTTAAGGCCCACTGTGGAGACCGAAAATGTGAGGGGTTTTCAGTAAAACGATAAAATATTTAAATTTAAATTGTAAAAGCGGGTGATAAATAAGCTATCATTGACTGTATATAGTAACTTTTTGCTGCAATAAATTTCAAAATGGAGATAAGTGCGCCTTTTTTGCCCTCACGTCTCTACTTTTGAAGCAGCAATACCCATTTTCTTAATTTTTATTTTTATAAAAAAGAATTGAAGTTAAATTAAGTGCCGCTATAATGCGTGGCATTCCATTTTATCAGTCATTAAAAGCAACTTTTTTACTTACAGAACACCAAGTGATGAGAATAGAAACTAAACAAGCGCCAGTTCCAAGCCAACCCGAATTAGTATTGAGCGATGGTAAGTCCAAACAAGCATTCTCTCCACTCACATTTACAAACATACATAAATTTCGTTTTAAATTCAAGTTTATTCTAAAAAAAAAATACATTTTTATTCGATAATATGCTGTGCGTCAAGCAAATATGTTATGTCTTCGTTCAAAATATTTAACTGCGTTTTGTTCTTGTCTGAAATCTTGCTTTTTATACATATACATACTATATGTTATTTATTCATATATTATTTCCTGTTTGATTGCAATTATTTATTCTTTCTTAATCCGTATTTAAATTTGTTTATTTTTGTAGTTGTAGTTTATAACTGTATTGTTTTTAGCAGCGTCTTAAAATTATTCTTCTTTCTCTATTAAATTCGTTATCACATTTATATATTTTTCTTATTGATGCCAACTGTTTTTGCCAGCAGTTGACTTTTACATGCCTACAATAAAAAGGCGCATTAATCAAACTACATATCTATGCCAAATGAAGCCGCTTTTATACATGTCTTAAAAAGGCTAAAAATACTAATACAATATTGTTTTTGAAAGGTAGCCATCAGCGCTGCTTTGCTTTGAGTACTCCAATAAATGTCGTAGGAATTTTTCCTAATAAATATGGCTACCGTTCGACCGCTTTCAAACAATTCACGTTCCATACACATACATATGTATGTACGTATGTACATATATATATTTTTAGGGGTTTTTAATAGCCGCGCTTAATTTTTTTTTAATATTACATACTTAGTTTTATTTTATTATTAAAACAAATTGATTTTTTAATTTATCTTTATCATTTTGTTTCTTTTTCCCTTCCTAACTCCACCACAAATAATATTCAATGCCACTTTGTGCTACAACGTAAACACATATTTGTTGACACAATATTTTATTAGTTGTTAGAAAGAAAATATTACCCGTACTCGATAGTGTGTCTGTAACATTTTTGTAGTACGAAGAAAAAAAAACTAAACTGTTACATTCCGTACTCTACTCGTTTTACCTACTACTTTCTCTATTGCGCTCTGTTAGATACTTAAACTTGCAATAATACTTAACTCTAATGATTTTTATATTTAAAATTGTATCTATTTTATACTCATGAACGATTTGTTTGCATACACAGGCCCAACTTGTTGTACGGCGTGTATTAAGTGATTTATTATTTTCCGCTACTACCACTCCTGCTACTATTTCTACTTCTACTACTACATACAACTACTGTTACAACCACAACTACATCTGCTACTGTTTAAACATCAAACAACTTTATACATACTTCGTACGGCAGCTATCACTGCTATTGCGTTACTCTTCTACTCTACTTCCCTTCATCCACATCTTAGTTTCCTACAGTACTTCTTTCAAAATTGATTTTTCCAAATCTTTTTTCCCTCATTTCTATATTGGCACAAAGTTTTTAGTCATTATGAGTTTTGTGTGCAGCTGCAGTTTTTATAAACTAAATTTTTTAAACAAAGATTTTTTAGATTTCTGAACACTTTTAACAAAGTTTTCGTTAGTTGTGAATAAGTGTTAATTTTTCTCTTAGAAAAACACATTTTTTAAAGCAAAATTATTACGATTTTTGAAAAAAATTTTGATTATTTCTGTGTTCGTATGGAAAAGTAGCTTATGTCGAAAGGTTGGCTTTAGTATAATGCGGCATTCCTTTTATTCTTTAAACGACAAGGAATTTTTTGACGAGACTTAATAGGAATATTGACTTTCTAGTATCGGAACTATTTCTTGCACGTTTATTTGCCAAAAGTTGTTCAACGGCTCAGCGCCAGCGAGTCATTCGCAATCGTATACTGCAAATGCCGATTTATATTAAAGTCAGCCTTTCGACATAAGCTACTTTTCCATACGAACACAGATTTTCAAAAATTTTTTTTTTTTTTCCAAACAAAATTAATTTTATCTAAAAAAAATATACAAAAACAAGTATTCATAGACAATATGTTTTTCAAATGGAGTTGAGTTCTTTAAAAGTCATCGATTGACTATATAACCTTGTTTATGTTCAACAAGTGACTATTTTGAGTTCTAGGCAAAATTAGAAAATGTAAGCAAAATTAACTAAAAAAAAAAAACAACTTTGTTTTTCTATGAATACTCGTTCTTGATTGATTTTCATTATTTTCGTACAATATTTTTTTTTTATTAGAATACGGTCAAATAAGTAATTTGGTGGTCAAAAATTAAATTTTTTTCTCTACTACTCTTCTATTCCCTTTAACCCACAATGTTTTGTAGCCGGCTTCAAGCACAAGTCAATTGGAAATAATAACAAAATTTAAAGGCTAAAAATAAAAAAATATAAATTTTTATTTTTATGAAATTAGTTTTCTAAAAATATTGAATTGGAAAATTTTTTTAATTAAAATATGTATTTTTATAAATCAATACAGTTTAACAGAAAAAAAAAAATATTTTTTTTTATAAATGTATTTTTTCACCCAACCAAATCCTTCAAATCAAAAACGAAAAACCGCTGCCCACCTATGTTTGTTAAGCGTGTGATCAATAGTCAGTTTATCAGTCAAAACTCAATCCATTCAGTCTAGTCGAAAGAGTTAGTAAATCGTTAGCTAGTCAGTAAGTTTTTAATTGGTAAATCAATTGAGTACCATCCCAGAGTCAGTGACAACAGGTAGTTAGTTAAATCGCATCATCTAGTTGGCGTTCCAGTCAGCGATCCTACCCCTTCGTTTTGCCGCTGCTGCATTGCGTATATGTGTGTGTATGGCGCCGTTATAATATATCGCTAGCTCCATACTGCTATCATCATCAACAAGAACAACACCAACATCATCACCAAATCAACACCAAAATGTGTTTATAGGACCACAATCAAATGACAGTATAAGTAATATCACAGTCACAGCTACTACTACTACCATTAGATTTTCTACTAATAAATATTAGTAAAATAATAACCTACTCTTTTCCGGCACAACGTAAAACGAAATAATGAAATAAATCTAAAATAAAAACCTATACACATAAAACAGCTCAACAACAAATACTCGTTTGAAAATTTACCGACAAAAATGTCGAAACTAAAACCACTACTACTACTACTGTAGATGCAAAGCCCGATGAGGTGAGTTAAAAACAAAGATAGTCAAATAATAGAGTTCACCACCTTTTCACAATCGCTTAGTGATAGTTTTTATAGGCGTTTAGTTCTCATCTTCATTGCGCAAATGAACATCATTTTCAGTAGGAGTGTATGTGAGAGGAGGTGGAGTTGGAATTCAAAAAGAATCAGGTAATTGTTAGTTAACTGTATTTGTAAAACTGAGAATGAAATATAGTTGCCAGGATATTTTAGAAGTATAAGGAGCCTCAATAAATTAGTTTCAATGATCTCTACATACATACATACATACATAGTCTTGTGCTCACCAACACTTAAAAACATTTTTCTGTAACAAAAGCTGGAATAAGATCTTAAAGCTTACCGGGGGGTTTCTGACATTTGTGCGCGCTTGATATTTTCAGGTGAATTTTTGAGATTATTTGAAATTTTGAGGTTAGTTGCAACTTTAAGGGCATTTGAAATTTTGAGGACATGTAGTTCCATTTTTGAATTTGGTTTGGAGTTTAGTTGATACTTTAAGGCTAGCCAATTTTGAGGTTAGCTCTAAATTTTGAGGTTGGTTGAAATCTAGTGGTTAATTAAAAATTTGTTAGTTAAAATATTGCTGAAATTGTTTAAGTTAGGTAAAATTATATTAGGATAATTCATCTAAACGTCTCTTAACCACGTACGTACACCTCATAAACGTACTTAATTGTGTATGGAAAACCGGGTTATTTAAGAGGTTTACTCAATTACGAGGCATTTACGAATTTAAATGAATACCCATATTATTTTTTAAATAAGTATATCTTTTAGGTAAATAGCTATAAATTTTAGTCTAATACGCATTGAAGTTTTGAATTTAGTTTTAAGGTTAACTAAAATTTTGCATAGGTTAGGTAAAATTATATAATTTTTTAATTCTAAACTCTAAAATTCTAATACGCACAAAATTTGTTTGATATTTCCGAAAAAATGCCTAGTAATTATTTCGGAATTTTATGCTGAAAATGGTGTTCTTCATCAGTCACCTTCACAAATAGTAACATAAAAATTGCATATTCCTTTTATGTTTTTCGTAATTCAATCAAATCGTTTATTTTGCATACATGTGTACAACAAAGATTATCCCGTTCATTCAAAGACATAAAATTGGCTTAAAATTTTCAGCTTCACGAACACATACACACACATCCCTTAACTCCTCGTTAACATTGCGTCTTGTATAATAAAAATAATAATTTCTAATTTGGTTGCATCTGTCACTCATAAATACTTACAAAGGCAAGAAAATTCCACAAACAAAAATTTATGTTGGATTTCTACTCTTGCCAGAACACATTTTTTATACCAACCAGTTTTTAAAGCATAATTTTTTTTTTAGTTTATTTGTTTTTGTAGCTGTGTAAAGAGTTTTACTATAGATTCTTGATAGTAATCATACGTTTTTCTACTTTTTTGATGTGTGAAATTACTTGTCTCTTGCTAAAAAAGAAATATTTCTGACTGTACAATTTTTTTTTAGTGCTTTAGAAATGCATTAGATTGTTTTAGCTACACTCATTTTACATACGCCTATTGTGACTGCCTCAAATTTTGGATGAACACCTGTTTTTTAATTCTGTGATTAATTTTTAGGAAATTAAAAAAAATATCAATTTGTTTTCTTTGGAAATATCATTTAATTTAATTTTTTTTAGTGTTCGTTAGTGTCTCTGCTTGTTTCTCTGTGTTATTATTATTATTATTTTTTTTTTTTTGGAGAATCTAGCTCCCTTTTTTAGTATCTTTTTTAGGAATAGATAGTCCTTTTTCATACAATAAATAAAAAATTATAATTTTTATTTAGTTTTAGTTTAGGCTAGTCAGTGCTGCAGCTGTTTCTATAGGCGCACATACGCTACTATTCTTCTGTCTTTTATAATTTTCTAATAACTGTTTTGCACATTTGACATGTATAATTATATAATAAGAAAAGCATTCGGATAAACAGCATGTACTCTGCTTTTTGTACACTTTATTCAGCGTATAAAAAGATTGCGCACAAAAAAAAAAATCGTTTGCGACGTTCTACTCTATTACCTACATACACTATTTTTAATACAAAATATATACTCGTACATAATTTGTCTAACTATATACTTTATTAGAAACTATAAAAATAACAATGTTTATTACGACACACTTTTTACTACTTGTTTAATTTTTTTTTTTTAAACAAAACTTTTTTAAACCACCAAAAAATTACCTGCCTGTGTATGTATATTCTTTTAGCAACTCTAAGTTTCATAAATGGCGAACGTTCTCATACGGCTGTGAATCGAAAACCGCCTACGGGCCGAGGTAAACAAAATTTGTGCATTTTTACTAAAACCCAAAAATGCAATGAAACGCTCATACCACGTACTTATTGTTGTAAGACATCCTAACCCCCACGACCATACATATTTACGTACATACACATATGTATGTATAGAATACTTCAACAATACTAAGCCAACGCTCCGTTTGTAAATATGTATAATTCACACGTCATGTTTAGCTCCCAATATTTAATGCAATTGCAAATTCATTGGTGGCGTCTTTAACCTTTTAAATACAACAAATTGCAGTGTGTTAAAAAATATATACATATATATATATTTTGTGCCATTGGGTGTGCCGCCATTCACTTATGTATACTTGCAAACTCTTAACTGAATTACATCAATATATTTTTCTCTTTGCTCTATAGTTACTCCCTATCCACTAATAACAGTAATACATGTATTTAGTAATCTTGTAATCGATTTTATCCTTGTAATACATATCAACAAATAGAAAAAAATATATTATCGAATTAACCCTAACTGGTATTACAATGTAGCATTGTTGAGTATTTGTAATGTAAAAAGCATGCATCCAAAATTGTGGTGAAAAGTAACACTTTCTAAATTTAGTTCAACTAACATATGTATCAGGCGTATGTACATATATTAAATGCAATATATTTTAAAAGATTTTTTAAGCCTCTTTGCTAACTCTATTTTGGTATGAAAATTTTAATACGCGATTTTTTGCATATATTAACTTCGAAATTGACATGCTAACTTCTGCATAAGTGTATACATATTCATGCTCTGGTTTTGTGATAAATTGAGCTCGCCGAAAGTCATGGTAATTCCATAATAATAGAGTATTAAAAAGAACTTTAAGCGAAAAGCTAAAATTGTTCCCAAGTATCATATCCGTATGTAGTGCACTTACATATATGTACTTATATTAAAAATTAAAGTCAGACATGTTACTTCATTTTATATATAGAACACGGTTTTCATGATATCAACTAATCCTTTCAAAATACGGTTGGAATTGCTTTCCTTAGTCTCCAAAGCACTGAAAAACATTACTCGCTGATGGCTGATCTGGAAGGAGCCATAAACGATTCTGTGATTTCCCATGTTTTCCAGATGAGTTTTGGATTGGCTTTCCTTTACGGCCGATTTTGTTTCACATATTATGTCGGAATGGGTGGGCCGCAATTAATGTTTATCACATGCACACGTTGCTAAAGGATCACACTTTTTTTAAGAGCAATTTTATTATTTAGTTTTAACTTATTCTTAAAAAAAACAAAACAAAAATATGTTGAAAAACCTTCAATTGCTGGTTACACAGCTAATGGGCGTAATATACAGAGCTTCATTGAAATGACATGTATTCGGCATAAAAGTGCCTAAGAATAAAATCATAAAATTACATTTAAATTTGATCGGAAAAATATTAATTCAATTTTAATGGTTCCCTGGTTTCTATAACTAAATGACATTTTTTTTCTTTAATGCAAATATTTAGAAAAGAACTGCATTCAAACTTTTTCAATAAAACCACAGATTAAAAGGTCGCCAAAGGCTAAGATTTTTTTTTTCAAAAATATGGCAAATTATATGCACATAACAAAAAAAGATCATGTTTATATAAATAATCTACTAAGTGGGTCAAATTACCCATAGTGGGCTCGAGCGAATCCCGATTTAGCATGTATACTCCCCTAATATTATGGATTAGGGAGATTTAAATAAGCTTATTGTGCTGGTACCTACTGATTTTTAACAGCTCACCCCATTATGTTTATTTTTGGAACTGTGGCTAGGTCAATTAAAATATCCGAAATACATATATGTAGCACCACAATTTTTATTGGGCACTTCGAAAGACACTTCATTTCAAAAGCGTAAATGCTATCGCCTCAGCCACGATGTAGTTATTTCTCGAATATATGGCATTGTCGCGTTTTTGGTAAAAAGAGCCACTTAAAGGAATTCATTTATAAAGCGAGATCAAAATCCTAAAATTGTGCCGAAGTACGGGTACTTTTTTTTGTAATTTTTTGGAAAATGTATTTATTTTTTGTTCATTATAAAAAATTATCTCAAAAGTCTTTTCCCGCACTTTCTTCCGATGGCAACTGTGTTTGCCAGTGAATTTCAGCTACGTTCGTTTTAGATAGCTCTAGTGTTCACACAAATTTCAAATTTTTATTCGATTTTTATTTTATTTTTTTTTATATTGAGAAACCCGATTTACTGATTTATAGCGTATTCTTTTCTCGCCAGGGCTGTCAAGTTTTTGTGTTCTTTTATCAGCATCTTCACATTCATATTACGTGCTCTTTCTCTAAAATGTTGCACTCTGAAAATGTTGCCACATAAGAAGGTGACATTTTTTTCGAGAAAAGAAAACGCCATTAGACGCCACCTTTGCTAGCATACTCTTCTATTCCCGTGAACGTGAAGTAATATCGAAGCACTACAATCGTTAGACAAACAAAATTAAATTTTTTTTGGGAATTACCATGACTATCCCACTCAATTCATCTGTCTGTATATACTTGGATAATGTATCTCGTGGTCGAGTCACGTTTGCGTTCAACTATTACATTTTAGACTATAGTTTGTAGCATGCTACGGGACGGACCAAAAAAAAATCTACTCCTACTGTACTCTCGAGTATCAATATATAGTGCCTAAAATTAATTACAAGTACTTAAGTGTAAATTAAGGCGTGACTCTGCTTCGAGGTACATAATTAAGAGTTGATTCGTACTCGAAACCTTAAACTTCTCTTCAAATTTCGCCGTACTCTTATCTTTTCAAATGAAGTATGTCAATATGTACTTGCTGTAGCATTTTGGAAAATACCTACCTATGGCCTTGTACTTACATATATTCTCGTTAGTGTTTAATGTTTTTCAAACAATGATATCATACATTCATCTAACCATTCCTAGACTTAGATGAAGCTGTTAAATATTCCGAAGAAGAAGATTATTCAAGTAGTCCAATTTACGAAAATATCGTCGAAAAATCCAATGCACACAAAAGTTCAATTGCAAATTACAATAACAATGTGAACAACAGCAGCAATAATATCAACAATCAATGTCTACTTCATACGCATGCAATCAATGAAGCCAATGATATTTTAGATTTACCCAAGCAACAGCAAGCGCACCAATCGAACAAAGAGAATATTTATTGCGGCAATACTAACATCAAACGCAATACAGCGCTCATAGCCGAACTGAAGAAAGATGCACAATTTCAGCGTCAAAAGCACAAATTACAATCGAAAGAGTGCATGGTTAGGCAGGGTCGTAATTATAATTGTAGAAGTACGCTTCTAAAGTGTAGTGGTAGTGAGAAAAGTCCAGGTCGCGTTGGTGACAGTGATGGCGAAAGTGCAGTGGGTTCACAGAACATTGAGTCCTCGGGCGGTAATATACAACAGCAGCGTATCAATGTTGAGTCTATAGGTTTTCGTCCCATTCATCCGATCGAACCGCGCGCCGACGCTTCTGAAACTTTTACCCAGCAACCACAGTTTTGTTATGCCGATTCTAATAATAATGTACGTGGTGATGGTGGGGGCTGTCATCATCACTGTCAAATCTACCATCAACGACAGCGCCAGCACACGGGGCCTGCTGTAGGCATTGTTACGCTGCCACATTTCGAACAGGCTTTCGGACATTTACTGGGTCGTCCTGCGACTACTGACTTTTGTGGCATCTATTATGATAACTATCCGCCTGACTATGAATCGATTTACGACAGACCGCAATATGTAGAGCCCGTTAATACCGGTTCCGTTGTCACCACAACCTCTGACATCGATGAAGCTGAAAATCCCTATAAGAAAGCAAATGATTGTTGCACGCCTGCTGTTTGCGACAGCGTTTTTGAGGCGTTGCGCAAGCCTGCTGCTAACGACAACAATTTAATATTGAATATACCCTTTACAGCCGAATCACCCGACACTACAAATACAACGATGAGTACACCTCGCAAAACTCGCGCCGATTCGCCACATAAGACCGACGGCACGTCCAATGGCTGTGGCAATGGCGTTGCCGGAAAGCATCCAGTTGCACACAGTCCCTACCGCACGCTCTCCCACTTCGGCTTCAATTCACCACAACGCCATCCGCAGCCCGAACATAAGCATATACCCTCTGCTACAGAGACAAAAAAGTATGTGCCCTTGCGCAAATCAATCTCATATGAGGAGATCTTCTCGTCGCCGCGTTACGTTGATCTCTGTGAGAACTGCTTCGAGAAGATCGTACGTCTAAAGCCAGAAATCGCGCAGCAGACACAAATGCGGCTACGTAATTTATACGACTTTAATGGCGCAAGTGCTGTAGCTGGACGCGCGCGTGCCGCCACATGTCCAGGCATTATGTATCAGCCAGCTACGGATGGTGTGTCGTACGACTATGTGGAGTACGCGAGCTCTGATACTACTGAAGAAATACTGCCACTATTCTCTTCTCAACTCGAACCGGTGTTGGAGGTGGTGGAGGAAGTCGAACCAGAGAGCCTTGAAGATGCAAACATAACTAAGAAAGTAGCAGCGACTGCCGCACAGAACTTGTATCGCACACCATCCAATTCAAGTTTCATTGAGAAAATTATGCGTCTAAACTACTCAGAGGAATCTGCAGATTGGGATTTTGCGCATGCGCCACATAAAATCGCGAGCAGCACTAATCTTACTTTGGAGCTGGAACGCGCTATCAGACAGAATAGTCAGCGCGACCAGCAACAGGACGATGAGAAAAGAAAAGACGTCGAGGCAGCTGCTATAGGGACGGAGACCAAGCACTATAACACCGACATGGAGTCTGAGTTAGAGCCGCAAAACAATGAAAATGCTTTGACAATGTGTGTGAATGTTGAAAACGAAGGTGCGACGCATTCACCACAACGTCTATCTGTTACAGAAATTTGGGAATTTATGCATTGGCAAGATGAAGCTCGTGCGTCACATCAGCAGCTGCAATCCGACCACGAAGTCGCGCAACCGTTTTCACAAAATGATGGCGTCAATATACCACACAAAGGCTCAATTTGTTTATACTACGAAAACGCGCGTGAAGGCACATCCAACAAGAATAGGGCTAGTGGAGGCACAGGTGCACCTCGCGACAACACTAAATCTCAAGAGGATCATGGGAATCAAAGCCACAGGTCGGCTTCAGCATCGCGCTCTGCAGAAGCATCTGACGAGTCAGTAAGGCAAGAGCGACGCCGCTCTTTGATGACGCGTGAGGAACGCAGCCGTCGCAAACTAGTTTTCCAGGAGCTTTGGGAAGATCATATCTTCTTCCTTGACGGCAAAGAAACGAACACATTGAGCGATACTGAATCAGCTATCGATGGACAACAGGAGCAACAAAGCACAGCAGACGCTGATGGAGTTGCGACTGAAAGCAGCGAGACTTGTACCAGCGCCACTGTGGAACAAGATGTTACGAACGAGCTTAACGTGGGCAATGAGTTGTTACTGATGCGCACGGAAGAAGGCAATGCGCGGTCCAGTGTTGTACCTTCGACGACGACGACGACAACCTTGCAAAGTAACGAACCACAGGTGGTTGATGCTGAGGTATTCCATACTCGCAGCGTTATTTTAAACAACTGCTCAAGCAATGCCGCCATGCGAACTTCGTGCAATGAGTGCGGCGATGATTTCGATAAGATTACCACTAAATCGGAGACATTAATGAAACTGCAGCAAACGGAAGTAAGACATTTTTCCATAAATGAACCAGCGTGCACTCATAAAGAGTGCGAGGCGTCGACTTTCCAAACTTCTGTGATGGAGGGGTCGAATCCTGCCGAAGATGCAACACCTTTTTACCATGAAGTTATCTCACAAGCTCATGGCGAGCGTGGAAGTTCATCTGCTACACTTCAAATGTCGGCAAGTAAAAGGAGATTCGAAAAAAGTGAAAATCCAACTACACCTGTTAATAGGTCGTCTGCTACAAGACCACTCGATAAAGAGATGTCGGAATTATTTTCAAAATCAAACGATCTGAACTCTTCGCCCTCACCGAACAGAGCTTTCTTGCCAACCTCCTCCCTTAAAACCTCATTAGAACGTCAAAAGCCGGAGCCAAAATCCACCGAAGTACTGACAGAATCGAAACTGTTTAGTTACCAAGCTAACATAACTCTTACAAAGAGCGACCACGAAAAACGATCAATTCCTGCAGCAATAACACACAATACAAAATCCCTCGGTAAATCGGTTGTGGTAGCTCATCCTATTCCTTATACTGTCGAACACACAATCGCTAACCCTTTGCCCATCCAACCGCATGCACAAAAATCTTCGCCTAAACCAGCCCAGAGATTCGAGACGGACAGACCGCCAACACCAAAGCCACCAATAACCAAAACAAATTTTAGGAAACTCTCCACTCCTGAACCTCAAACGACCATTCCAGAGTATGACCCAAAGATGGCAGCTAGCTTGCACGCATCCTTGGGTGAAGAGAGCACTTCAGAAAGTGATGACGATCAATCGGCGCGCACCTACAACGTTGATGCAGCTTCGCAAGAGTGCTTGTTTTTTCGTGAACATCAGCTGGCGAACGCTGCTACTGACGCTGCTACTGGTCGAACTGATAGCGAAGATGATGAAATATGTCTCGCAACAATTGGACGAAATGTAGATGGCGTCCAATTCATGGAAACTAAAGTTGCAAGTGTGCAGGAAGTTGTTGACATTGTGTTAAATGAACTCAAGTCGCCGCCAATAGAGCGTGCAAGGGCCGGAATGGCGCTACCTACGGACGATGAAAAACCGAAGTCTGAGCACACGAACACAAACGTTACGCACATAGCTCCGAATGTTGCGCGCGTCGCACAACTAGCTGCTGAGGCACTGAAAGAACCTTCGACTACGGTATATGCCGCAGCGCCGAGGATATTAAAACGGCCACGTAGGAGAACGAATGTGCTGGCTAAATCGAACAGCAACGTAGCATCCACATCCGGTCAGGCCGCACAGCGTAAAGCAGCAGAGCTGGAGTTGGCATACAAACCTAAGTTCGAGGAGTATGTGCTCTTCAAACAGAATATTCCTTCGCCATCCATTTCGATGCGGGCACACCTAGCCACCGAATGCGACAGAGATGTGGAGGATACGTCAGCGCTTGCGCTTGATAAGGATGAAATGGAATTCGCTGAGCTGCTAGAATCCGAGGAGCATATAGATCTCACCAGGTTGAGCGAAGAGTTCGAAGAACTGTTATTAAATGTGGAGAATCTGCAGCTACAACCGCAAGCACGCGAACTTGGCGGCGCTGAGACATACGCAGCAGCTGACGAGCGGGAAGACAGCAATAACGTGGTTGCTGAAGCGGAGAGCCATTTTAATGCAATGGAGCGTAAAATACTACGCAAAATCAGAGAGAATCAGCTGAATGAGAGCGAAGAGATTTTTGATAAAATTGAAATGACCATACGCAACAAAATTACGCCTAACCAATTGGAACTGCAGATTAAAGAACAGTCGTCGTTAACTAAGCTTGACCAGACTCAGGTAACGCTTGCAAAATCGCAGAGTTCACAAAGCACTATCACTGCATCAACGCCAGAGAGACACTCGGCTATCGCACACAGCTCCTTTGGTGTTAGTTTTCTGCGTGAGCGAGATGCCTTCGAGACAGATATGGCAGAGCCCGATGCCAATTTGAGCGATGCGGATGCAGACGAATCTTCCACACTAACACCGCACGGCACGCGTTACTGCAGTCGCGGTTCGGAAGATTTCAACACCACACAAGCCGATTTTTCGGCGATATTGACATCCTCGTCCTGCTCAGCAAACCTAAAATTACGTCGTTCACGCTCACTAACACCGTCCACGGGAAATTGCGAGCTATCGCCGCCGCCTCCCAAACTAAACAAGACTACCACACCACCTCAGGAAATGCGTAAGTCGCTGAGCGCGCATGACTCTCAAAGTAATTTAACGGCGGCTGCCTGCAAATCTAAGTCAGGTACGTGTGCCTCAGCCATAAGGCCACGGGATAGCAGTTCCACCCCGGAAATTAAGTCCGCAAAACGTAATTTCATATTAGAAAACATACGCAATGCGGCCATACCGCGACACAGCGGTGTTAGTGGCGGTGGCGGTGGCAGCGGCAGTGTAAAACGCTTGCAGGGCAATGCACATGCGATATTTTGCAAGAATCCATTTGGACCAGTTACAAATTCAACTAGCGGTAACAGCAAAATGTTGCTTAGCAATATGTCCACTAGCAGTTTGACCAGTTCGACCACCTCCTCCAACCGAACGGTTGGAAACAGCAAACAGCTCAGTCCACGTAACTCCTCAACAGGCGTGTATACCTTCCAATCGAAGTTGGTACGTGGTTCACCACGCTTTTGGGTGAGCCTCACACAACCAACCGCTGCCAAAAAGTTGCAGACGCAGAAGCGTCGTAGGCGCTCACAGCAACAACAGCAATATCACCATCATCGATCCATGCAAATTGAAGCACACGATTCAACAGGTAGTTTGCGGGACTTCTCCGATTTGATGGACAATGAGCAGAGCGAAGAACCAGAGGCGGAGGGAGAGATGATGGGCGATGAAGAACAGGCCAGTGTACTGAATGAGGAGCAACGCTCAATGGGAGCGAATGAAGAAGCGGTCGAAATAGTGAACTTGGATATTGTAGAATCGCAAGAAATATCTGATGGCCTTGATATAGCGAATAGGCTAAGTGATGATGTTGCTGGTGGTGGTAGTGTTGTTGATGGTGGCGTGGAACAAGAGCTCGTCGCGCTCGATGAGCAAATACAAAAAATTCAACCACGTCTCGATAATTATAAGTGCAAAATGCGTGACTTCGGTGATCACCTTGCCAAGTGTACGCGTCATATGGACGATTGCATTGCTGTGCAAGGTGATATTGTCGAAGAGCAACGTCAGTTGCGCGAACAAATGGCGTTGCAGCAGTATGTGGAGCATATTGTGTGCCAAGTTCAAACGTATTCTATCTCGGAGACTGAGGATTAGTGCGTATGTGTGTGTGGTGGTTTTTAGAAGCGCGGTCAGGGTTGACATTTCCGAACAGATAGAGTTTTTTAGAATGAAATTTTTACTTCCCGGTAATGTAAGTTTTTTCAATATATTTTTTTCCAAACTAAACAATCTATCAGCTTTTTATTAAATTTATTTTTCAAAATTACTTTAAATTTTTTTCTTTATTTATTTTTTTATTTTTTATTAAATATTTTTCTGTTTCAAATTTATATGTTTTGAAATGTTTGTATTTTTTTTTGCTAAATACGAATTTAAAATTTATCAAATAAAAAATATAATCGGATTTTTTTTTTTCTACATAATTAAAATAGCATTAGATTGAATTATTAAAAATATATGGATATATAGTATATATTTATATATATATATATATATATACATTTTTTTTTTCAAATTAAAAATGTAATTTTCAAGGTGTAGTTTTAATTTCAAAGCTACGCGCTTACACGCCTTTTTGAGAAATTATAACTTAAACAAAGAAATAATATCTTAAAAAAATGAGCAAGCGTTTTCAAAATCGAAATGTTAATATTCTCACCAAAACGCAAATGTTTTCAAGTCAACAAAAAAGCAAAAATTTAAACAATCGCGTGGAAAGTTTTTATTCTCAACAATAACTTTTTAAAACTTTGTCAAAAAATTTGCCAAATTATTTTTTTTTTTTTATATAACTTTTGTATTTATTTTCTTGGACTCAAATGATGAGAAAAATTTTTCGAGTAATTAAACTTGGCAATCTGATTTTTATTTGTTTTTAATACACTAGATGGAGACCCTCAATAAATTCTAACCTCAATCGCCCTATCAAAATTTTTTCGTATAGAGAAACTTGCATCTTAAATGTTTTTTTTTCTAATTGGAGAAATAATTAAGTGAAAAATTGGAAATTAGAGAATCAATGAAACAATGTACCCTCAAAAAAATCGAACCTCAATTGCCCCGCCTTATGCCGCCAATGTTACCAACGCTGCCATCGCGACTGAATAGTGCGCTCTTTCTTTTCCGCAAGTTTTTAACAAAACTCCTTTGAAAATTGTGTGCGACTTTTATTATATTATTTCAATAGCATTTTTTTGTTACAAATAATTATTTCAAATCAACTGAATTGTTTTGCCGAATACCTTTCGTTTTTGTTTTATTCCTATAAAAATCAACTACTTAATGCATATTCTCGAATTTGTACGCAAACTATTAAGGACTTTTAAAATTTTGAATAGCACACATAAACATGTATGGTATCTTTATGTACTATGGTATGGTATTTTTATGAACTAACAATAATTCTAAAGAAAAAATTATTTAAAAAATGAATTATTTCACTCTTATTTGCATATAAATATGTACATATGTATCTAATTGCATACTCGCATTTATAAAATGTTTTTTTTTTTTCGTTTTCCCATCCCTGTTTATATTAAAATATATGCATTTATTTATAAAAAAGTTTTATGTATTCGACCAATTGGAAATTTGTGGGATAACCAATTTAATTACATGTTTGTTTGTCCATCAATATTCGTGCTTTTGTTTTTAGATGTCATAATTTTTTGCTGCTCAAATTAACATTGCTGAATTTTTTATTAACTAACATTTGTTTTTCACATTATTTAAAAAAAAGGAATAGCTTGCTTATTTATATTTTATTTTTGGGAATGTAAAAATATTTGAATATGTCTGACTGGGTTGAGATGAGCTGTAGTACCTTACCAAATTATTTCTTAAATAAAAGAAAAATCATAACTAATGTATTTGATTGCACCTGAAATTTATAATAAATATTTTTAATTTTTTTTAATATTTTTTGGCGAATATATATATTTTTTATCATAAATACGAGGATAATTTTTAAAGTTTTTTCTTACATAGATTAGATATAAATATGTCTAATTAAGTACTAAGTAAGCTCTTAGGTATCGGGTACACAGCTAAGAGCTGAGCTTTTCTGAAAGCTTATAGATTAATGAATTACGATGAAAGTTTAACAATTTTCCATAGTAGTATGTAAGTTATAGTTAATGATTGTTAATCAATCTTTATCTGCCGGATAGCCTAGAAGAAACTCGCAAAAACAGCACATATACAAATACCAAGAAGGCCAGAAGGTTCGCTCACACCAAACTTGTTTTAAACAAACACAATTCTAATCCTAATTTTATTGTCCCCCATTGGGTGAAACCCGAAGAAACAGCATGTTTCCTGGTCCTACCATTAGTTGAGCTTGACAAGACCAAAACACGTTTTTGTTGAAAAATGTAACAACTCGGGAAATTTGCTCATATGCACATCATTTTGCTAAAAAAAAGTCAGGTATCTCATTTACGTACAAGTAACCATCCACGCTTTTTGCCATGAAATTTCCCCAGTTAGCATTCCGATAACTTGCCTGCAGTTCAATTGCTTTTGTTAGCAACTAGACATTTTACATCCAAAGTATTGATTCCAGTTGTACAAAAAAAAATCGTTTAGGAATCACCACTTGGCCAGTGTTATCTTCGCCTTTATTAGATAAATCCACTTTGCTCTAAACATAAACCAATGCCGGATTTCCATTGGGCAGTAAATTACAAAAATTTTGATGGCCAAGATGGGCATTACAAAAGTGCCATTACGTCAATAAATATAATCATCAAATTCCTTTACGCGGGGAAATTTTTATATGTATATAGCATAACTTTTTTCACTTCAAAGCCTAGTGGAAACTTAGCATAAGTCTTCATTAGTACTATAGTAAGCGAGCGTAAATAGTCACCTATTTTACCAGAAATTAATTGAATGACCTTTTTAGCGGTGATAATTTCTGCAATTAACCTATACTTGTACAATTGTTCTACTCGTACTTCGTATATACGTGTCTTCGAACAGTTGCCTGTGTAATTATTGTTCGTCCTTCGTCCTCGTCTCGTCAGCGTGTTGTGTTTGTCCAATGTGTTTGTTGCCCATTGTGTCTTGTATACCCGACCATATATCATTTCTCATACCATTACAGCCGCATTACACCAACATGACAATTCATCACTTACACAAACTCTTCATGTTCATAAGAAGTACATCCATCCACCATATGAAGATTTATGGGCGCAAAAATGTGTGCTAATAAAAAGTTTGTGCGCAAAAAATTTCGGAAAACGGTCGAATATAGCCGAAAAGTACGCTTTTTTATATAAGCCAACCAGTTTAGATTTAGCTGAAACTTATAAAACTGAAGAGATAGTGGTGTTCAATGTTTGGATGATACATAAAATTGAAATATTTCCACACTATACATATCCATTGCCGGATATTGGAGATAAAACGAAGCTAAATACCTGCACAGAGAACACGTTCGAACAGAAGAGCGAGTGTGCGCAGGAGGATCAACACAATGCAGCTGCAGTTTGCGCAGCTCAATGTGATCACGTCACTTCTAGTCTTTCATATCAACACTTGGCGAAATCAGCTCTTTCCAAGAACATCAGCACAACGCAGCCTTATCGCACTTGCTCGCATTACGGTTTCAACTATCCTCTGACCTATCAGCCGCATATCACCATACATCCAGCGCATCTGCTCACCGCCGTACAGCTGCAGCGTGAAAAGGTAATCGCTTTTATTAAATCGACTGCATTGAGTTTAAATACTGGTTATTTTCAACATCAACGTGAATGCAATGCTCCCCGGCAGCCACGCGCGCCTCGTCTGAAGTCCGCCGAGGCGCTGTCGCCGGCAACACTTAGCAAGCAGGCTTTAAAACCAAATGTAACAAAAGATGATTATAGCAGCGCGGAAAAACTGGATTCTAATGGCTCATATATTTCGATGAAAGAAATAAAATTGGAGCCAGTTAAGCGTCGGCATGTTAGCAAGTTGGCCGCAAGTGATCATGAATGTGACAGCAGCGTAGCAGGTGATCAGCAGCCACTATTGCATGATCGCGATTTGCACACCTCGCCACAGCTGTCACACGATCATCAACAACTGGATTCGCTGTCGGAGCAATTTTCTTCACTACTTTCCATCGGTGGCACTTCCTATCCTGCTGGCTCGCATAGCCATAGCGCTGACCTCGCGCACGATCATGAGGATGAGTCCCACCACCAGAACTACGACGACTCGGGTGATAATAATAGTTCGATAGGTATGCGCGTAACGCCCACAACACAACGTGCATCCTATGTGCTGCGTGACTTTCTGCCCGCTCACGCACAAGCACAGGAGACACCCGAACATAAGCCCGAATCGGAACAGGAACTCCAACACATAGATGCCAGGTTGGTGTCGTCATCCACACCCAAGTTGCGTCAGCTGCTCGGCACGCGCAGCGGTGAAGAGGAATCAGATGATGCTCAACAACACGCCCACCATCAATCCCACAAGCAAATCAAATTGACTTTGAATTCGAAATCCAATACACAGGCATCCGCTGCATTCAAGCGTCGTTGCTCACAATCCTCGCAAGAGGCCAGCGCTGATGTTAGCGTTGGTGTACCGACGCAGGAACGCTACCGTCAAGTGACTGCCTCGCTGTCGGAAGCGGAGTCGTTGTCGCCTGCTCCATCTTTGCGTTCACTAGAGATACATATCAATATCAACGTTAAGAACTCAGATTGTGCGCGCACGCTACAAACCCATGAAGTGGAGTTCCGTCGCAAGTTGGAACGCATCATCGATGAGGAAATAAATCTGATTGCACAGCAACTCAGCAATAGCACTCAATATAAGAGCAGTCCAAATATTATAGGAGGCGTGCACATTGTACCAACAACAACTGAGTATTCTCAACTCGAAATGACAACGGCGAGCACGCGCCATCTGCTCAAACATGCAACGCATAGTGAAACTCTAAATGATTTACGCTTTGCTGGTACTCTGACTGCTGGACAGCAGAGCAAACGCAGCAAGCCAACGAAGAAGACGCAGCCACAAGCACATCCGCCACCGCCTCCGGCCTCTTCCTCCTGCTGCACTGAGGCCGACTCCACTACAGCTGACAAATCGTTGTCGCATCATCGGCTCATAGCTATGCTCGAACAGGAGTTGGAGAGCCTGTTGAATGGTATAATTTGCGCCAATGCGCTGCATAATCATGCTGTCATGTGCGATTGCAAGATGAAAGTAGCCCAGATATCAGAGGAG